TCACTATAATTGACTTCAATTGTACTAATTTGACTTTAATTGTACTAATTCGAGATCGATTTCACTATAATTGACTTCAATTGTACTAATTCGAGTTCAATTGTACTAATTCGATATCGATTTCACTATAATTGAGTTCAATTGTACTAATTCGAGTTCAATTGTACTAATTCGATTTCGATTTCACTATGATTGACTTCAATTGTACTAATTCGAGTTCAATTGTACTAATTCGATTTCGATTTCACTATAATTGACTTCAATTGTACTAATTTGACTTTAATTGTACTAATTCGATATTGATTTCACTATAATTGACTTCAATTGTACTAATTCAAGTTCAATTGTACTAATTCGATTTCGATTTCACTATAATTGACTTCAATTGTACTAATTTGACTTTCATTGTACTAATTCGATATCGATTTCACTATAATTGACTTCAATTGTACTAATTCGATTTCGATTTCACTATAATTGACTTGAATTGTACTAATTCGAGTTCAATTGTACTAATTCGATTTCGATTTCACTATAATTGACTTCAATTGTACTAATTTGACTTTAATTGTACTAATTCGATTTTGATTTCACTATAATTGACTTCAATTGTACTAATTCGAGTTCAATTGTACTAATTCCGATATATGATATATACTATATAATTATATATAGTACTACTATATGATATATACTATATAATATATATTTATATTTAATATATATACTATATAATTTAATTTATATAGATTATAATTTATATGTTATACTTGATAGTTTATATGTTTATACTATAAAAGATCTTGATGTTGAAGGATAAGAGTAAATGTTGCGCAAGTTATTCAGTGATAGCCTAGTGCGGCCCAATGGTAACGAGGCGCCCCCAGAGATAACGGACTCACCCGAACCCGGGTTCGAGTCCCGAATCTAGGAACCTCGTTCCATTTTTTTAACATTTATAAAACGTATTTCAGAAATACGTTTTATATTTAGGATATAAATATAAAACGTATTCTTAGAATACGGCTTACAAATAATACTTTTTGGAAAACGTATTCCGAGAATACGTGTTATAAATAATACTTTTATAAAACGTATTATGAAAATACGTTTTGTACTGGGGATGAAAAAAAAAATACAAGTTTTTTCTATTGTAACACCCGAAAAACCTGGACGAAACAAATCAAAAATACACAATCTAAACCAAAATACCATGAAAACTAAAATTACAGTAATTACCATTCAAACAAATTATAATAATCCAACCAAATCCAAATGAACTCTCCAAACAAATTCTAATGAACACTAACAAATCTAATTTCCCCACTCATCACGAAGTCTAGACCTGTCGGTGCGAGGATGTGAAGATGGACACTCATCCACAACATGATTTGGATCACCGCATCTAGTGCACTGTCCCCTATCCCTCCTGCGGCGTGACCGACGATCCATTTGCATGCGATATCGTCTCGTTTGCACGCGACCAGGTCCAGGCTTCAAGATCATCCTCTCCCAGTGTGGTATCAATTTCCACTCGACCGACGCCCATGTATCCGGATTACCAATCGGAGCAAAACTCCAATCACGAAATTGAGCTACCCAGTTCTCGGTCCAAAAATACTCACTGTACAACAGTTTTGGGTCGGTCTCAACTGAACGACAGACGGCTAACGCATGAGAGCATGGTTTCCGATGCGTCTGCCACTTCCGACAACTACAACGTTTTCGGTTGTAATCTACCTTATACCTGTAATAATTCTCCAGTGATTTATACATATACAATATGAAAAAATTTAAATTTAATGGACAAACAACAAAGTAAAAAAAAAAAAATACTTACATGTTTTGCCCTCTTCCACTCGCCCGTAAACCGGTTTCCACTCCGTACATGGAGCTGTCCGCGTCCATAACATGGACATTATGAGTGGCGCCTGTCTGCTCCAATTGCAAATATGCGTTATAGTGCTCCGTAGCAATGGGAGTCCTGCATCTCGTGGACTTGTTTTGTTCCTGTTGAAACAAATCCAGAGTTTTATGCAATGTGGCATCTACCAAAGCTCTACACGGCAGGAACCTAACCCCTTTCAGCACGTTGTTGTAACTCTCTGACATGTTCGTGGTCAATGTGCCCCATCTGCGTCCTCCTTTATCTTTTAACTGGGTCCACTTCTCCAAAGGAATTCGAAAAAGGAAATTGTGTGCCTCGGGATTCAATGCCAACAGTCGTTGTTCTGTCTCTCGAAACTTTTGCTCCGACAACTGCGAACCCAATTCCCAACACCAAGTCCGAATTTTCTTACTCCTGAAATTAGTCACCACGTTGCTTCGGAGGTGTCGAAGGCAAATTCGGTGATACGCAGCGGGTTCTTGCCAATCTGGTAATGGATGGCACTGAGTAGGCCCGCATCCCTGTCAGAAAGAATGCAGATACGTCTCTGGAAGACTACATGTTGCCGCAGATTCCTAAGGAAAAATGACCAACTGTCCTTGCTTTCTTCATCGACAAGCGCATACGCGACCGGCAATAACCGCTTATTCGCAGTCTGTGCAACGGCCACAAGCAATTTTCCCTTGTAGGATCCACGCAAATGTGTGCCATCGACTCTAATAACCGGCGGGCACCTTCGTAAAGTTTGAATGGCGGGACCAAACGCCCAAAATACAAATTTAAATTGTCTGTCTCGAAGGTGTCGAGCCATTTCCCCACCCTGCCATTCCCACTCTACAACTGTGGAGGGATTCGTCCTTTGAAGCGCGGCAAAATACCTACACATTACAAAACAATTTCATATTAAATAGATAAACATAGCGACAAACATTAAATAAATATACTATATTTGTAATTAATTTTTGCTTACTGAGGGAGTTCTGCGAAGTTCGATTCCCAAGTGCCATACACACTCTCGATGGCTTTTCTCCTTCCGTGCCATGCCTTCTTGTAGCTGACATCCACTTTCCAACACTGTTTCACATCAGCCTGGATCATGTCGACACCGTACTCCAATTTCTTTCGAATCTTATTACGAATGGGATTTGAAATCATTTGGGCGGTTACATTTCTGTGGTCATTTCTCTCGACCGGTTGCATACAAATGTGACTATCAGTCCATTCCGTTAGTTCCCACAATTCATGAACCCATTTGGACTTAGTCACCCGAGCCTTCCACAGACAAGGCGGATCTTCACTAGATCTGCAGACCACTTTGTATGACTTTTGATTCGAATCATTTATCCGAACCTCCCGCAACCTATCGACGTTCCAAGCCATCAGAGCCATTTGGGCTTCTTTCTTGCTCTGAAAAACTATACCCAAACGTATGGTCTCAATGTCGCCATTCCAGCGTGGAATAGCATACTCGTCCGCATCTATCCTGGACGGGTCCCATTCACCCATCTCGCGGTATATGTGCCGACCACCACTAGGAAAGGGGAATTCTTCTTCAATGAACTCGGCTTCACTCTCCTCATTCACCGATCTATCTGATTCGGTTTCTGAGGTCTCGTTTGTGAAATCATCTTCACCGAGTACGAACTCTTCGTCACTTTCTTCCTCGTCCTCATTTGCCCTTTCTCTAATTGGTGAGCTTGTCCCTTCTCCAAAATTACGTAGATGAGAAGTCGACGTGCCCTCATCCATTCCCCCGTAATAAGGAGTAAAATCCTCAAATTGTGTGACCGGTGTAATTGCTTCCAACGATAAATGCAAATACACAACGGACATAGGTTCATATGCATAAATCCACTGAAGAGCACTAGAGTTATCGAGTCTTCCGGCAGTCCACGAACCATCGCGTTGACGAAACATTAAAGTTATCACTTGAATTGTCCAACCTTCTCCAAAACGACAATTCTCATTAATCATCTGTACCAGTTGTTCATATGATATCCTCCCCGTAATCACAAATGAACCATCCGGACTATCCATAAATGAAACAAAATCTCTTAACTGTTCCTTCGCAAATCGCCAATACAAATTAACAAAATACGGACCACAATATGCCATTTATACCTGTTGCAAAAAAAACTTTCAATTCTTCCAAATTACAACAACACATGATGTCTAATACAACACCCAAAAAATTCAATTATTCTTTAAATCCATTTTTACTCCAAAAAAATAAAAAATATTCCCAATCGATTAATCCTCCAAAACCATAATATCCATAATTCAACAATAACATACAACATACAATTCATCTATATTTCGAGTAAATCGAAAATCCTAATTCTAACCCTAAATTCGAAAACCCAACAATAACAAACCCATACACAATTGATAATTTACAAAAAAAAAAAATTCAATCCTCAATTCAACATACACACATAATCGATAAACAATTAACAATTCCCAATTTCAAACATCACAACATTCAAACATACTATAACAATTACAATCTCCCAACAAATTTAAACAATATCAAAAGTTGAGATAAGCCAATATACCTCGTTCGAATTAATTAACCAGAAATGAGGTTCGTGTTGTTGTTGTCGGTTCACGTAGAAGTGACGATTGAATCGAGTTTTTTTTTTATTTTTTTTATTTTACGCCTTGCGCTGCGCTATGGAGGCTGAGGATTGGGAGAAGGGTTTGAGAATCGCGCAAATGAATGGAGAAGAAGAAGATAACATTATTTTATATTTAGTTGTGAAACGTATTTCCGGAATACGTTTTAGAAGTATTTAATTGTAAAACGTATTTTTAGTATACGTTTTTATATATATAAACTTAAAACGTATTTTTAGAATACGGTTTTTGAAACCCTAAATCAATTTAGGGGTTATATAAAAAGTATTTTTGAAATACGGTTTACAATTATCATTTTTTATTCTATTTTTTTTTCTTTTAAACGGAACTATTTATTTCAATTTCCAAATATAATTATAACACGTATTACAAGAATACGTTTTTGTAATTAAATTTAATTTAGAAAACGTATTACGGGAATACGTCCTTTTGATTTTTTTCTACTCCTTTTTTTTTTTTTTTTTTTTTTTTTTTTAAGCTAAGCGCAACGAAAAACAAAAGAAGCTGAGCGCGGAGCCCCCGAATCCAGGGGGAAATTAGTTCAAAAAATCAAATGAGTTTGTTCTTCCATTGGAATATCAGAATGTATAAAAAAGTAAAAAAGAAGAAGAAGAAGAGAATAGAGGGATAATTGCTTTCATGAATTTCATCATATCTTAAAAATGGCAGAACCCTCGTGCTCCTCTCATCTGCGGAGATAGAACACTGTGTAGGTCGTTACACTTTGTATTTCTATCTATGCATAAATAGAACCGAAAAAAAAAATGAGGTGCAACAGTACGGCTCAGAAGCGGAACCCCATCGCCTCAAAGAAGTCGGCGCCTCCGCAGAACGGCTCCACCGCTGATGGGACCAACCCTAAGCCCTCCTCCCCTTCTCATTCGTAAGCTATCTTCTTCTTCCTTTCTTTTTAATATTGGAATTGAGTTTGATCTCGATCGTGGATAAGACGGGCAAGTAAAGATTGCTACTCTCAGGTGAAAGTTTGAACTTTTGAAAATTCTTTGGTTTAAGATAGTTGACTGAACAAAAAAATCGGTTGGTTTGCTTGGGGTTACATTTCGATGCAACGATTTGTTGTGATTACTTATATGGTAGAGAATTTAGATACCGTATTGCTCGAGAACCCCTGTGGCCATCGTGAAGTTGAGAGTGAGTGTTTGGTGGAGAAGTTTTTTTTCGGTGTGGTGATAATCAAATTAAAATCTTAAGCAGCTTCCCCATGTTTTTCAGTTCTAATTACATGAACAAGAAACACAAATAGAAGCATGCATTTGCTGCACTAAAAATACGATTTTGGCCAGAACTCTAAATATTACTTGAAGTTTCTTCTTTAACCTGGGATAATTCATTTAAATTAAGTTGCTGTTGAAATGTGATGATTTCTTCTAATAAACTACCTGACTACTAAATAGTAAGTTTCCTAAGTTTCCAGCTTTGCCTGCCATTTCGGGAATTCATCAATGTGCAATTTTTCTGTAAATAATCCAAACTATGATTTTCCGATGCTTCCTATTGTATATTTCGTCTTTTAATATTCTGTACATTTTCCATTTGCTTGCCTATGTCTAGCGACTGAAAATACGGACTTTACTATACAACTATCATGTTATCGTTTATTCTACTTTCGAAATTATAGTAAGCTAGATTGTTAGCTTTATCTTTGCGTAGGAATTTTTAATATTGCCTTTGTTGGTTGCACTTGCATACATGCATTCTTTCCTATTTCAGTTTTTCCCCCATGCTTATTTAAATTGTGTTCAATATATTAAGTATAACTTTCAGGTAACAGTTTTTTTGTTACCCATGTTATATCTATATATTTTAGCACCAACTCATAATAAATAGACGATACTCTGCAGTATTGTGTAATTTGACAGAGGGTACTTGTGTTTTGTATGCATGCAGGGTTGTTGCAGGGGAGAGGACAGTGAAGAATCTGAGATTGTCTAAGGCACTTACTATTCCTGAGGGGACCACTGTGTCAGATGCCTGTAGGAGAATGGCGGACAGGCGTGTTGATGCTGTTCTCTTGACTGATGCTTATGCCTTGCTTTCTGGGATTGTTACTGATAAGGTGCTCATCTAGTGATCATTCGCTAATGGGTCGAACTTGTGTACTGTCATACAGTTGCCTGTAAACTACCATGAGAATTACTT